GTAAGTCCTGAAGGGGATTGATACATGGTGGCAATTCCAGGCACAACTCCATTATAGAAAGTTTGCTCAACTGTGAAAGTCAAACTTGAACTGGACACCATCGATGTTCCGATGACTGGAATACTCTCATTCATTGTTCCTAGAGAAGATTCATATGATGTCTCTGAAGCTTCCACTGACGACACACACACTGATGGGCTTGAAGATACTGTTGGAGAGATGGATGGTTGATCACTTGGAGAAGCTGATGGGCTAATTGTTGGAGTAGGCGTAGTCAGAAAGAATGGGCTTGTTCTGAAGGTGCTTCCAGGCTTTTCGCTGGGGGAAGAAGATGGAGTTGGCGAGGGCATATCTGTAGGCCATTCAGTTGGAACTGAAGATGGACTTGGCGACGGGTTATCAGTTGGCCAGTTACTGGGATGACTGCTTGGGGTGGCACTAGGCGATCTAGAGGGAGATTCGCTGGGGGTGCCAGTGGGCGGTCCAGTTGGTCTCGAGCTGGGGGTTTGGGAAGGACGAGATGAGGGACTTGAGGAGGGCTCATCAGATGGCATCCTGGAAGGGTTTGAGCTAGGCTTCGAACTGGGGCTATCAGACGGAGCAGACGAGGGGCTTGGAGACGGCATGTCAGTGGGCCATCCAGTCGGTGTGGATGATGGGCTTTCAGAAGGAGTTCCAGAAGGGCTATAAGAAGGACTCTCTGAAGGCGATGCAGATGGGCCTGGCGATGGTTCACCAGTAGGCAATTGTGAAGGAGTGCGACTAGGGGACACTGAAGGAGTATCCGATGGATTTGCTGATGGGCCAGTACTTGGACTACCCGAGGGTGGTCCTGTGGGCCTATTAGATGGGACATCAGAGGGACTTCCAGAAGGTGCTGAACTTGGTTTGTTGGAGGGAGTTTCAGAAGGGGAATTGCTTGGTTGACCCGAAGGATGAGTAGATGGGTTGAAAGTTGGGCCTCCAGTTGGGTTCTTGCTGGGGGACATACTCGGCGAGCCACTTGGCGAAGTGCTGGGGCTTGCAGATGGTTTTTCCGAAGGTGTGTCAGAAGGTGTAGCTGAGGGACCAGGAGAGGGAGCATCAGTTGGCCAACCAGTTGGTATGTCACTTGGGCTGTTCGATGGGCTTCGGGACGGGCTTGTGCTAGGAGAGTTACTTGGTGGCTCCGAAGGAGAAATTGTGGGATCTCCTGTAGGGCGACTACTTGGGCCTTCAGATGGAGCAGCACTTGGTGGGGTGGAAGGTTTGGAAGATGGATTCTTCGAAGGGCTTGAACTGGGAATATATGAAGGGCTGGAACTTGGGTTGGAGCTAGGAGCCACTGAAGGGGCGGCTGATGGGTTGCTTGTGGGTGTTGATGATGGGCTACCTGAAGGTGAAACAGATGGCAAAGTTGAGGGACTGAGAGTAGGACCTCCAGTTGGGTCAAGGGAAGGGCTCCCAGAGGGTGACTCTGAGGGACTTATGGAGGGTCTGCTGGATGGAACATCACTGGGGCTCACAGAGGGTTTGAAAGATGGGCTCTCACTTGGAGCTTGGCTATCAGTTGGTGTTGCTGATGGAAGTCCACTGGGTGCTGGACTTGTAGTTGGGCTTTCACTTGGACTTGTTGTTGGAGGCCCCGTGGGTGTTCCACTTGGGCTGGAGCTGGGTGATTCACTGGGTTTCCCTGAAGGATTTCTGGAGGGTATACTGCTTGGACTAGCACTTGGGCTAGTGGATGGGTTCACAGATGGCTTTTCACTAGGCTGTTCTGATGGAGAAACAGATGGGCTTGGAGTAGGCCCACCAGTGGGGTTCTCACTGGGTGTAGAACTTGGTGGAACACTAGGAGATTCACTTGGGCTAATTGATGGAGTCCCCGATGGAGGCTGGCTGGGGCTAGATGAAGGTGTGAACGAGGGACTCTCTGATGGATTTCTGGATGGAAGAACACTTGGAGATTCACTTGGGGTTGAAGAAGGTTGCGGTGTTGGTCCACCAGTTGGGAGTCTACTTGGGCTGTCAGATGGATCTCTGCTGGGAGCAATTGACGGGGCCACTGAGGGCAACTCTGAAGGACTGGCACTTGGACTAACACTCGGTGAAACTGAGGGTGTAGCAGAAGGTGGAGTACTGGGGATATTGGAAGGAGATGGGGTTGGGCCCCCAGTTGGAAAATTGCTTGGGGTGGAACTTGGTGAGCCACTTGGGGAGGAACTAGGACTTGATGAAGGAAGTCCCGATGGTTTATCAGAAGGAGTATCCGAAGGGCTTGCAGAAGGGTTGTTGGTGGGCTGAACAGAGGGTGTGCTGCTTGGGCTTTCAGATGGTTTCCATGATGGGCTGATACTTGGTACCGAGCTAGGTGTGTAAGAAGGTGCTTGAGTTGGCCCACTAGTTGGGGTCTTGGATGGACTCTCCGAAGGACTTCTTGATGGACTGGCACTTGGACTAGTAGATGGTTTGCCACTGGGAGAATAACTTGGTGATGTAGATGGCAGAGAAGATGGACTTTGAGATGGGCTTCTAGATGGAATTGAGCTTGGCACATCACTGGGGCTGGACGACGGTGAGAGTGTAGGACCACTTGTAGGAACCCTCGATGGACTTTCTGATGGACCACCAGAGGGACTCTCTGATGGGCTGGATGACGGGGACACGGAAGGAGTGACGCTAGGGGTGATTGATGGGCTGGAGCTCGGATCTACACTGGGAGAAACCGATGGAGACACAGAGGGTGTATCTGATGGTGTACCAGATGGACCAGCACTTGGCTGGGCACTTGGGGTAGAGGAGGGGCTAGGTGTGGGTCCGCTGGTGGGGCTCTTGGATGGACTTTCAGAAGGATTGGCTGATGGGCTTTCTGATGGTGTACCTGATGGTGCCAAAGAAGGACTGACTGATGGCTTGCTGGATGGACTCTCACTAGGTGCTTGGCTATCAGTGGGAGAAACTGAAGGCAGTCCACTCGGCTCTGGGCTGGTTGTAGGACTCTCACTTGGGCTACTTGTTGGAACACCTGTAGGACTTACACTTGGGCTGGAACTCGGTGATTCGCTTGGAGCCGCAGAGGGACTGATAGATGGACCAACGCTAGGAACAGAGCTTGGACTGCTAGACGGCTTTGTACTGGGAGTTGAGCTTGGGCTCCCAGAAGGAGTTGAACTTGGACTCTCTGAGGGGATACTTGATGGTGTCCCACTGGGGCTCTCTGATGGAGAGCTTGATGGGCTTGGGGTTGGACCACTAGTGGGTACCTTGCTTGGGGAAGCACTTGGTGAAGCACTTGGAGAAGAACTGGGGTTTGATGATGGTGACTCAGAAGGCATCTCTGAAGGAGTAGCTGAGGGACTTGGAGATGGGATGTCTGTAGGCCATGCTGAAGGGGTGCTACTTGGGCTTCCTGATGGACTTTCTGATGGACGAGTGCTTGGGGTAGCACTTGGAGTTTCTGAAGGTGATGGAGTAGGCCCGGATGTTGGAACCTTGGATGGACTCTCAGAAGGACTCACACTTGGAGATTCTGATGGGTCTGCCGACGGAATGGCTGATGGACCAACACTTGGACTCACAGAGGGGCTGCTGCTTGGGACTCCACTGGGTGATCCTGATGGTGTCAAGGATGGACTTTCAGATGGGCTTCTCGAGGGGCTGGTGCTTGGGGTTGCACTTGGGGTTGCTGAAGGGGAGGGTGTAGGTCCACTCGTTGGAACCTTGGAAGGACTCTCAGAGGGTCCACCACTGGGAGATTCTGATGGGTTTGATGAGGGACTCTGTGATGGCATGACGCTTGGCATAACACTTGGAGTGACACTTGGACTTTCAGATGGGGTTTCTGATGGACGGGTGCTTGGAGTTGCACTTGGGGTTGCTGAAGGTGAGGGAGTTGGTCCACTTGTTGGAATCTTTGATGGACTCTGCGAAGGAGTACTAGATGGAGTGGCCGATGGAGTTGACGATGGCTTCTCCGAGGGTGTCTCAGAAGGACTTGAAGAGGGACCAGGGGATGGGTCATAAGAAGGCCATTGAGAAGGAGAGCTGCTTGGGCTCTCAGATGGACTTTTAGATGGACTTGAGCTTGGTACATCACAGTCCATCAGGAAGCCCAAGTAGCACCCCTTCAGCATGGCCTACAGACATCCCATCTCCAAGTCCCTCAGCTACTCCTTCAGATATGCCTTCTGAGTCCCATCATCAAACCCCAGTTCTTCTCCAAGTGCTTCACCAAGTGCTCCCCAAGCAAGGTACCCACTAGTGGTCCAACCCCAAGCCCATCAAGCTCTCCATCAGAGAGCCCAGTGGGACACCATCAAGTATCCCCTCAGAGAGTCCAAGTTCAACTCCTTCTGGGAGCCCAAGCTCAACTCCCAGTACAAAGCCGTCTAGCAGTCCAAGCTCTGTTCCTAGCGTTGGTCCATCTATCAGTCCATCTGCGGCTCCAAGCGAATCACCGAGTTCCAGCCCAAGTGTAAGTCCTACAGGTGTTCCAACAAGTAGCCCAAGTGAGAGTCCTACAACCAGCCCAGAGCCGAGTGGAATGCCTTCAGTTTCTCCCACTGATAGCCAAGCACCTAGTGAGAGTCCATCCAGCAAGCCATCAGTCAGTCCTTCTTTGGCACCATCAGTACACCATCAGAAAGCCCATCAGCCAATCCTTCTGAAAGTCCATCCAAGAGCCCCACAGCGGACCCACACCTAGCCCCTCTCTACCCCAAGTGCCCAGCCAAGTGCTGGTCCATCTGGTACACCATCAGATACACCCTCTGTGTCTCCATCGGTTTCTCCCAGTGTAGATCCCAGCTCCAGCCCATCAATCACCCCTAGCGTCACTCCTTCGTGTCCCCGTCGTCCAGCCCATCAGAGAGTCCCTCTGGTGGTCCATCAGAAAGTCCATCGAGGGTTCCTACAAGTGGGCCAACACCCGCACCGTCATCCAGCCCCAGTGATGTACCAAGCTCAAGTCCATCTAGAAGTCCATCTGAGAGCCCAAGCAGCTCTCCTTCTCAATGGCCTTCTTATGACCCATCCCCTGGTCCCTCTTCAAGTCCTTCTGAGACACCCTCGGAGAAGCCATCGTCAACTCCATCGGCCACTCCATCTAGTACTCCTTCGCAGAGTCCATCAAAGATTCCAACAAGTGGACCAACTCCCTCACCTTCACAACCCAAGTGCAACTCCAAGTCCATCAGAAACCCATCTGAAAGTCCAAGTGTCACTCCAAGTGTTATGCCAAGCGTCATGCCATCACAGAGTCCCTCATCAAACCCATCAGAATCTCCCAGTGGTGGACCCTCTGAGAGTCCTTCCAAGGTTCCAACGAGTGGACCTACACCCTCCCCTTCAGCAACCCCAAGCGCACCCCAAGCACCAGCCCTCGAGAAGCCCATCTGAAAGTCCATCCTTGACACCATCAGGATCACCCAGTGGAGTCCCAAGCAGCAGCCCCTCTTTGAGTCCAAGTGTTGGTCCATCAGCCATTCCGTCGGCAGACCCATCAGAATCTCCAAGTGTGAGTCCTTCTGAGAGTCACAAAGAAGGACTGACTGATGGCTTGCTGGATGGACTCTCACTAGGTGCTTGGCTATCAGTGGGAGAAACTGAAGGCAGTCCACTCGGCTCTGGGCTGGTTGTAGGACTCTCACTTGGGCTACTTGTTGGAACACCTGTAGGGCTTTCACTTGGGCTGGAACTAGGGATTTCACTGGGCCCTGCAGAGGGATTGCCAGATGGACCAACACTAGGAACAGAACTTGGGCTTTCAGAGGGACTTGAACTTGGACTCTTTGACGGGTTACTTGATGGTGTCCGGCTGGGGCTCTCTGATGGAGAGTTTGATGGGCTTGGGGTTGGACCACTAGTGGGTACCTTGCTTGGGGAAGCACTTGGTGAAGCACTCGGCGAAGAACTGGGGTTTGATGATGGAGACGCAGAAGGTATCTCTGAAGGCGTAGCTGAGGGGCTCGGAGATGGGATGTCTGTAGGCCATGCGGAAGGGGTGCTACTTGGGCTTCCTGATGGACTTTCTGATGGACGAGTGCTTGGGGTAGCACTTGGAGTTTCTGAAGGTGATGGAGTAGGCCCGGATGTTGGGACCTTGGATGGACTCTAAGTTCGCAGAACGACGAGTGGGTAAGGAGTTCCTGGGATGGACCCTCTGAAGGAATCCCGGAGGGAACTCTGAGGGTCTGTGAGGGAGTTTGAGAGGGAATGCTGCTTGGTTTTGCAGAGGGGTTGCTACTTGGACTTTCAGATGGGATTTCGGATGGATTTACACTTGGCGGTTACTGGGATTGTCAGAAGGTGATGGAGTTGGTCCACTTGTTGGTCTTCCAGATGGATCATAACTTGGTGAAGCACTGGGGCTGGATGATGGTGAGTGTAGGACCCTTGTTGGCATGTTTGAAGGTTGATGAGGGATCTGAAGAAGGACTAACAGATGGTTTGCTGCTTGGGACGACACTGGGGCTTGAAGAGGGTGTAGAAGATGGACTCTCACTAGGTGATTGGCTGTCAGTGGGAGAAATTGAAGGCAAGCCACTTGGATATGGACTGGCTGTGGGAGTCTCGCTAGGTTTGCTTGTCGGAACACCTGTTGGCCGACCACTTGGGCTGGAGCTAGGTATTTCACTGGGCATTTCCGAAGGCGTAGCTGAGGGGCTTGGAGATGGGATGTCTGTAGGCCATGCGGAAGGGGTGCTACTTGGGATTCCTGATGGACTTTCTGATGGACGAGTGCTTGGGGTAGCACTTGGAGTTTCTGAAGGTGACGGGAGTAGGCCCGGATGTTGGAACCTTGGATGGACTCTCAGAGGGTCCAGTGCTGGGGGATTCTGATGGATCTGTTGAGGGACTTTGAGAGGGAATGCCGCTTGGAAGAACACTCGGACTGACACTTGGACTTTCAGATGGGATTTCCGATGGACGAGTGCTTGGGGAGTTACTGGGGTTTCAGAAGGTGAGGGTGTTGGTCCACTTGTGGGACCTTGGATGGACTCTCTGAAGGTAACCCGGAGGGAACCGCTGAGGGGTCTGATGAGGGAGTTTGAGAGGGAATGCCGCTTGGAGCAGGATGCTACTTGGACTTTCAGATGGGCTTTCGATGGACGAGTGCTCGGGGGTTTACTGCCTCTAGAGTCCATCCAAGGTCCCAACATCCGGCCTACTCCATCACTTCAGAAAACTCCAAGTGCACCCCCAAGCACTCGTCCACAGAAAGTCCATCAGGAAGCCCAAGTAGCACCCCTTCCGCATGGCCTACAGACATCCCATCTCCAAGCCCCTCAGCTACGCCTTCAGAGATACCTTCTGCGTCTCCATCATCAAACCCCAGTTCTTCGCCGAGTGCTTCACCAAGTGCTTCCCCAAGCAAGGTACCCACTAGTGGTCCAACCCCAAGCCCATCAAACTCTCCATCAGAGAGCCCCAGCCGGACACCATCAAGTAACCCGTCAAAGAGTCCAAGTTCAAGTCCCTCTGAAAGCCCAAGTTCTGTTCCTAGTGTTGGTCCATCTGGCAATCCCTCTGCAGGGCCCAGTGAAATCCCTAGTTCCAGCCCAAGTGAAAGCCCTACAGGTGTTCCAACAAGTAGCCCAAGTGAGAGTCCTACAACCAGCCCAGAGCCGAGTGGACTGCCTTCAGTTTCTCCCACTGATAGCCAAGCACCTAGTGAGAGTCCATCCAGCAAGCCATCAGTCAGTCCTTCTTTGGCACCATCAGGTACACCATCAGAAAGCCCATCAGCGAATCCTTCTGAAAGTCCATCCAAGAGCCCCACAGCGGACCCACACCTAGCCCCTCCTCTACCCCAAGTGCCCAGCCAAGTGCTGGTCCATCTGGCACCCCATCAGATAATCCCTCTGTGTTTCCATCGGTTTCTCCCACTGTAGATCCGAGCTCCAGCCCATCAATCACCCCTAGCGTCACTCCTTCCGCGTCACCGTCGTCCAGCCCATCAGAGAGTCCCTCTGGTGTCCATCAGAAAGTCATCGAGGGTTCTACAGTGGGCCAACACCCGCACCGTCATCCAGCCCCAGTGATGTACCGAGCTCAAGTCCATCTAGAAGTCCATCTGAGAGCCCAAGCAGCTCTCCTTCTCAATGGCCTTCTTATGACCCATCCCCTGGTCCCTCTTCAAGTCCTTCTGAGACACCCTCGGAGAAGCCATCGTCAACTCCATCGGCCACTCCATCTAGTACTCCTTCGCAGAGTCCATCCAAGTTCCAACAAGTGGACCAACCCTTCACCTTCTGACAACCCCAGTAACCCCCAAGCACTCGTCCATCGAAAGCCCATCTGAAAGTCCAAGTGTCACTCCAAGTACCAAGCGCATGCCTCACAGACCCCTCATCAAACCCTCATCTCCCAGGACCTCTGGATCTTCCAAGTCCAACGAGTGGACCATACACCTCCCCTTCACAACCCCAAGCCCAACCCAAGCACCAGCCCCTCGAGAAGCCCATCTGAAAGTCCACCTTGACACCATCGATCCCCAGTATCCCCAAGCATGTCACGACCCTCTGAAAGTCCAAGTGTCAGTGAGTCCAAGCCATTCCGTCCCCAGACCCATCAGAATCTCCAAGTGTGACCCTCTGAGAGTCCATCCAAGGTTCCAACATCCGGGCCTACTCCGTCACCTTCAGAAACTCCAAGTGCACCCCAAGCACTCGTCCATCAGAAAGTCCATCAGGAATCCCAAGTAGCACCCCTTCCGCATGGCCTACAGACATCCCATCTCCAAGCCCCTCAGCTACGCCTTCAGAAGATGCCTTCTGCGTCACCATCATCAAAAACCCCAGTTCTTCTCCAAAGTGTTCACCAATGTGCTTCCCCAAGCAAGGTACCCACTAGTGGTCCAACTTTAAGCCCATCAAGCTCTCCATCAGAGAGTCCCAGTGGGACACCATCAAGTATCCCCTCAGAGAGTCCAAGTTCAACTCCTTCTGGGAGCCCAATGCTCAACTCCCAGTACAAAGCCGTCTAGCAGTCCAAGCTCTGTTCCTAGCGTTGGTCCATCTATCAGCTCCCTCTGCGGGCTCAAGGCGAATCACCGTAGTTCCAGCCCACAGTGTAAGTCGCTATCAGGTGAATTCCAACAGTAGGCCCAAGTGAGAAGTCTACAAACCAGCCCAGAGCCGAGTGGAATGCCTTTCAGTTTCTCCCACTGATAGCCAAGCACCTAGTGAGAGTCCATCCAGCAAGCCATCAGTCAGTCCTTCTTTGGCACCATCAGGTACACCATCAGAAAGCCCATCAGCCAATCCTTCTGAAAGTCCATCCAGAGCCCCACAAGCGACCACACCTAGCCCCTCTCTACCCCAAGTGCCCCAGCCAAGTGCTGGTCCATCTGGTACACCACAGATACACCCTCTGTGTCCTCCATCGGTTTTCTCCCAGTGTAGATCCAGCTCCAGCCCATCAATCACCCCTACGCGTCACTCCTTCCGTGTCCCCGTCAGTCCAGCCCATCAGAGAGTCCCTCTGGTGGTCCATCAGAAAGTCCATCGAGGGTTCCTACAAGTGGGCCAACACCCGCACCGTCATCCAGCCCCAGTGATGTACCAAGCTCAAGTCCATCTAAAAGTCCATCTGAGAGCCCAAGCAGCTCTCCTTCTCAATGGCCCTTCTTATGACCCATCCCCTGGTCCCTCTTCAAGTCCTTCTGAGACACCCTCGGAGAAGCCATCGTCAACTCCATCGGCCACTCCATCTAGTACTCCTTCGCAGAGTCCATCAAAGATTCCAACAAGTGGACCAACTCCCTCACCTCAGCAACCCCAAGTCAACTCCAAGCACCCCGTCCATCAGAACCCATCTGAAAGCAAGTGTCAC